CCACAACATCCCATAACCCGTTTGCCAATGCAGTTAGTTATCCAGTTGTTTCATTATGACGTGCTGGAGTTTCTGGATTTTTTGCTTTAGTTGATTATAAGTCTCTTAAGCCGTAATTTCTCAAAACTGGAAATAAATTTCAAAACTTTCTTGAATATTAAGCAAACTAACTACACAGTTTTCATCTATAGAACTCCCGTTATAGAAGTGACTGTATTTCTTTTTTCTGTATTCTTAGCAGCTACTCTAAAACTAATTGCAGGCCACTAATAAGAACTCCCTTCATCCCAGTAATTAACGAACAGTTCTTGGTTTTTCCACCGCCTAGAGTATTATTTGGACAACCACGTGTTCCTGCAGCATTGCAACCGGTACCAGTTATGATGCGACCACCAAATGCAGTAATACCTCCGCGATTCTCATTCTTTCATCGTTACCGATCACCTTCACAACTTCACAAGGTAAATTTTATATGAGTCTTCTTCCTGCTTTTTTTGGGAAGATTTCTGTGTGCGAAACAACGATCGATGCTTGTCATTTTGCTTCCGTTAAAAGTTTGATTATGGAGAAAATAATGGGTAGCCGTTGAACCATTATTATTCAAGCGAAAGTAAAAAATATTTGCGTGTTCAATAAATAATTTAGAGTCCCTTGTCCAAGTTCAAATTCCTCGACTGGATTTCAGGTTCGTTTGATATTAAGTAAGGATTTCCCAGAATTTATTGGGAAGGGAATTACGAAGAAGAGGGCCAAAAACAGCGCTGCTAATGAGGTGGAGTTATTTTTATATCTAATTTTCTAAATCAGTTATTTTAATATATTTACAGCAATGCTTCCTTAACTATTCGTAATTTTTCGCACTTCTATTTAGAATGTTCATAATATTTCACATTGTGTAAAAACTTGAACGTAACTATCCACTGCACTTTCAGGCTCTTTCTTATCTAGGACCTTATTTGGCTACGCTGGAAGCACAGTCGAAAAGCAAAGTGATGAATGGGTCAAAGAATGGTAATAGTTATTCGTTTGATTACCAGCAGAACTTGTAATATGATTCATTTACATTCACCTTCGAGTTGAGATAAGCTACTGATTTTCGGGCGAGTGGAACTGTGGAACTTGTTAACTCAAACAAGGTTTTACCCTGAGAGGAATCGGAGATTGAATGTTCCGTTAAATCATTTGTAGTCTTAATTACCATCTATGGGGTTCATCAAAATGTTGAAAGATGATTAATATTGGTACAGCGGTATTCGAAATAGAGCGGACAATCAATAAACCAACATTCCGAAATAATCAGTGACCATTATGGTATTTTTATACTATTTCCTTGTCGCTTTTTTGTGGACAGCGTACTTGTTAGGCTGAAATTTACTTACATCACCTCAACATTCCTTATCTTCATTTGATTGTAAGGTTGAACAAAAGCGTAAACTAAACTGAAAGATGAACAGTTAACATGAATGTTTTTTCCACCTCCAGAATTAATGACAGTTGAAATCGAAAACATCAGAAAAGATCATTTAAAATCAGTTGTCACAACGGCACGGAATGGGAAACCAAAGTCTTCTATCTCTCAAATACACGAATGTGCTCTTCAAATGCGCATGAATGTTGAGTTTTTGGTAATGGATTTTGCATATTTTCAGTTTTTACAGTATCCTTATTTCATTCGCACTTTGTAACTACTCCTTACAATTACAGTATGTTACGGAGGATATCACTTGATGTTCAGCAACAATAACTTAAAGTCAAGATTTGTCTTCTGAAGTTGTTGCTGAAAAGTGACTCCTGTATTTGATAATATTTTTTTTTTTTCATTAATGCGGTATACCACTTGTCAGATTTCATTGTCTTCCCTATTGCTGTAAATGTTGAGGATGTTTAATTTTTATAGGTTTTGAAAGAGGAAGGACCAGCTCACGACAGACATTACTTATTACGCTGTAAGCTTATTTCAGCAGAGCAGATTATCTCTGCAGATGGTGAAGGAAGTAGTAAGAAAATTGCAAAGCAGAATGCTTGCTCGTTGATGTTAACTAAATTACAGTCTATTGGTTAGTCACATGATGATTTGATGGAAAAGAATTGCTACTATCTGCTCAAAAAGTCATTAATTTTGAACATAGGCTATTCCTTTTTCTAGAATCTTCGCCAGTTTTCATCGCTGCTGCCATGTTAAAATCGCAAAAGAAAATCGGAGCACCAAAGGAACTTAAGCGAAAAACGATTAGCAAGGTATTTGATAATTATCATTGCAGTAATGCTGAAACTGTTGAAGTACGCTTTTTTGGTTTTAGAAATAGTCTAGTCTTCTTCCCACAGTGCTATGCAAAATAAAAAATTGTCACATATCTTTAAGAAGTTTTTGTTATGGATGCTCATTTTTCCGAATTCTGTATTTGAATGTTAGTATCATTTCTGCGGTTTCTAATCTCTTGCGTCTTACGGTCATGGCAAGTTTTATAATCTTGGGCTATTTTCATTGTGATTGTCCCAAATTTTAGGATATGAAAATGAATCCGGAATATGGTCATCAAATTAATCCAGTTAGCCGTTTGATGCAAGTTATGCAAGCGCGAAAGCAAAATGAGCCAAAATTCCAGCTTGTTGCTGAGCGCGGACAAAGCCGTTACAAAGAATTTGTGATGGAGGTTCGCTTTGGATATTACATAGTTCAGTTTGCATTTTTCATTCACTGATGTCTTATAGGTGGTCTGTGATGATGGCCTTCGCTGCGAAGGTATCGGTCCTAATAAAAAACTTGCAAAAAGAGCTGCAGCTGAAGCAGTGCTCGCAAGGATTGGTTATGTGAAACCAATGCCGAAACCTGGAAAAAGTCTTCTTAAGAAAAAACCTGAGGAGTATATGCAACAAACACGTATTGGTATAGATTTTATTTTCCTATGTCCTTTGAAATTACGATTTATCACCGATTTTATCATGATGGAATAAGTTTGGAATAAACAATTAAATTAACATTAGCATCCATTAGACATGTTTTAAAAATAAGAAGTTCGTTTTTGGTGTCTCAGTTTACTATGACTATACTTTAAGGCCCATTTCCAAAATAGCGAAGATTACTCAAAAAGTTATAGGTATGTTCGAACTTGAGAAAGAAGGGAAATTAGTGCTACAAGTTAATGAAAACGAAGATGAAGCAAGTGTTGAGAAAGTATCAGAAGTTACTTTATCTGTGACTGCATCGATGGGGTCACAAGTGATGGCTTTCGCTGATGTTGACAGGACTTTGTATGCCGGTGAACGAAAAGGTGTCCGGGGTATCACTGCTGCCGAAACTAAAAGGTAAATTTTTGATTGTGACGTATATATATTTCTCATATTGGAAAAGATTTCCTAAATCACGATCATATTGTCATTTCTAGAGATGAATTAGCATTTTAGCATTCAGATGACTTACTTTTTCTTTAGTGAATGCAATGAAACTTGTGTTAAAAAATTTGTGTTATGTTTGGAGGGGTGGGTAATTTTTTGCAATTCATTCCGTTATGGCACATGTTCTATTTGGTGGAATTTTTCTTTTCAATTTGACAAAAATTGTAGTACTTGATGTTCTTATCATTCCAGTTATTAACCCATTGCTTACATATACATCACAGTTTTTTTTTATGTGTTTAATCCATAAAATTATTTTTATTTAAGCAAAAAACTTTTAGCATTAGTGATCAAGAAAATAGCAATGCAAGACAACGCGCTGCTCAGCCAAAGCGTCATGTTACTTTCAGTAATGAAGTTAGTGCATGTCCGCCATCCGGTTGGTTTTAATTTTTTGTTTGCTTGCTTGGATTGAACATTCATTTCATCTTACATAAGTTATGTTTTACATTAGATTACAGAACATGAACATTCATTTCATCTTACATAAGTTATGTTTTACATTAGATTACAGAACATCTTCACAGATTTTGATTCAAATATCTTCTGATGCGGAGAGGTGACGTTTTTACATTATCGAAACTTGACAGAACCTTTACAGAGCTTCTAGCATGTCAATCTCAATGCTGCTACTAGTTAGCCTTAGGCTTGGAACTTGGATAACCTTGGGCTCGGGAGTTAGGATTGTGAATGATTTCTGGTGACCAACGCTGAAAATCTTTAGAAGTCTATGAACAGCCGTATTTGATGTGAAATCGCACATTGCCATAAAACTTCCCTCGCTTTCCAAACGACCATGCAACGGTCATTCATAGTTATATAATAAAATCGTTAGAAGTAAATAGAATATAGAATAGATTTGAAGAAAGGTTTGTAAGATGTTTTAGCTTTTTGTTTTTTTATTTCCTGATTGCTGCTTAATGAATTTTTCTTGAGATTCTAGGCTTCCTATTGATGACTTTGATCAGTAGAGTGATTTTTGAGAATATCATATGCATACAATTTTTTCTGCTATTTCATATACGTTAATTCTGTTACAGATGATGGCAGCTACCCTTCGGCTTTCATAACACCGCTGAAATCGGATGTAGTTGTTGTCAACAAGCTTCGCAAAAGTTCGTTTCATTTTTTCATAATGCAGTTTTTGGATTCTTTGCAAATCTTTGTAGCTTTCTGATTGTATATTTTAGAAGGTCGCGATTCGAAAAAATGGCTTACCGAGATCGAGAAGAAAGAAATTGCTGAAATGGCTCAGGAATTCTTCAAGTGTTGTAATATCATTCACACACTGAACATAGATGAAA